GAAACCAAGACGGAAGGGGGACTTCCATTTCAAACGTCTTCCTTCCCAACAAGTGAAGCCCGTCCTTCAGGCGCAGTGACACGTCCAGTCAGCGGGTGTCACTCAGCACGAGATCGCCATTCCCGTCCTGACGGGCCCCACAGCGGGGCTGCCATTCGGGTGCTGACACGTGGCATGCTAGAGGGAAGACATGGGCATGGTCCAGGCACTGCACGGCTCAGTCCCTGCTGGGGAAACTGCGAAGGGACTCAGTCGTGTCAGAAAGCCACCCATCACCCGCGAGTCAGGACCTGCGGAACTCTTCCTCCCAGAAGACCAGAGTAGAAAGACTCAAGGTGAAGATTCAAGTGGACATTCCCATAACGAATCATCAAGGATCAAAAGGAAGAAATCCCGCAAAGCGAACCGGAGTCATTTGAAAAGTATGCTGCTATTTAAAAAGGCTCTCTCTGTAACGTCATGTCTTGAACATATTGCAAGAAGCAGGCTGAAGCTTTCAGTGTGGGTACGGGCAGGGGCAGTACAGGGGAGGAGACAGCCTTTCTGACCACCTTCCGTGAGCGAGACTGCCTGCTCGGTCTCCCCACATCTCATCCCATTTACTCTCCCGAAGAACCCCGTGAGGTGCGTGATTTCCCCACTGTACAGATGGGGCCTCGGGGGACCTAGTTACAGACCATTTTGTCTCATCTTCTGCATCTAACTCAGGGAAGACGGCTTATTTTCGGCCAGTGTGGTGAAGTCTAATTCAAATTCCCTGGCAATGTGAAATAGAAGCAGAGCTGCCTGCCGGAGATGTTCTACTTCGGAAAATGCGCTGCTTCTGTGAGGGTTTCAGAGGCACCCGTGCCTAAGCACACAGAGAAGAGTGAGCGGCCCCCAGGTCCGGGTCAGCTGTGCTGACCCTCGTGGTCAGACCCACTAAGCACAGACCCTCGGCCCTGCCCAGCACCAGTTAGCCCGCTGAGCCAAGCCGAGGCTGAGGACCGCATGCAACAGAGCTTACCTCACGCACTGTGCACCCTGAGATTAAGCCTGTTCACTCATTCAGTTTGGTCCTAAGCTGCTCCAGATGAATGAACTTTTTTTTTTCTTTTTTCTTTTTTTAAGAATGATTTTTATTTAACTTATTTATTTTTCACTTGACCAGAAGGGGACACAGAGAGAGAGAGAGAGAGAGAGAGAGAGAGAGAGAGAGAGAGAGAGAGAGAGAGAGAGAGGCGAGGGGCAA